AACGTAGACGTCATGTACTAAATAACCGAGTGGATGGCTAGGTCGTAGGTTGTGTTTGCAACCCAACCGTAAATGAGCCAGTAAGACAACCAAGTTCAACGAATTCGCCCGACCCGGGTAGAGCGGGCCAAAAGGAGGCCTCTGTCTGGGTCGTATAGCTTAAGTCGCGCATTGCGTCTGCCATGTGGAAAGCGGAAAGCCAGAAGGGCCAAGAATTGGGTCCTAAAGAATAGCGTCAGCGTAAACGTAGGCATAGGGCAGACTGATAGTCACGTGTCTGGCATTCAGTCTGAACATCGAAGCTATCCTTGGCGGAGAGATTCGGGCTGTGTTGGTGATCGTTTATCAGTTGCGACACCAGAGCATGGTTATTCGGATTCGGGTTGCAACGCGGGCGTCACTTGTGACCAACGGGATGGCATGGGCAACATGGGGTAGCAGAACTACATTGTGACTAATCGGAATCAGGGCTGTTCAGCATCCAATGATACGCGTGGATCGAAAATGCAGTGTGGTGGATCGACTACAGGATCTCCGGGCCTAAATCTCGTAGGGCTGAGAGACGCTTGCTGCAACACGCAAGAGGATGCCGAGTGATTATTGGTGGCCAGGGGACTGCCTGTGGAGCAGTCAAGGAAATCGACGGGTTACCGAGCTATTGTATGTACCTCTTAATAAGCAACCATGTGTGATTAATAATTGGATATTTCAGCCGCCGATGTGACAGTTGAAGCACTGTAAAAGAGTATAAATAAATAAAAAAGGGAAGGGGGGGGGATTTAAGCGCCGACTCACATATCATTTGCCGCGACTATCTCTCGTACACTACGTAGCTATTATGTAGTAAGCAGCAAAAACAAGGATCCTAGACGTACGACTTTTGAGTAGTGCATATATTAAACTATATTGTCTGAGAGCTGGGCTATTTTTGTCTTAAATCAGCCAATCACGTAAATCGAGACTTCTCGAAAGGCCCCAGGCTGAGATAAAAATATGTAATAGATGATGTGATGTTTGATGTAGTAGGACTTAATAAACTATATCGACGTAATGGAAGAGATCGAACACAGTATTTCTACTATATTGATCAAGCGGTCAAGAACTAAAGAGTGAGCGGCCCGGGGATAGAGTAGTACACTGTAACATGGCTGCAGTGGCAGTGTTTCTTCACTCTCATAAAGAGCATCCACTGGATAGGACGAGCTGGCGTTGTTTTGATTCGCCTTTTGCCTCCACGAACCTCGTACCGGAGATCAACATTTCCCCCCTTGTTCGTCGCCTAAGCTTGCGCGTCCTTACGACGTAGTAGATTGCGACTTCGCTAGAATCGGAAATAACAAAATAAGAAGGAAAAGAACGAGAGAGATTGTGAGCCAAGCACTGGCCGCGTAGTAGAGAGGCGGTGTAGTAGTCTATTTCAGGTGAGAAGAGGGGGAAAAAAGTAAGTGGTCATGAAGACAGGAAAACTCTGCTCTTTAGGACGACGCTATAGCAAGATTATAGTTAATAGTGATAGTTGATACGAAGAGACAAGGATTCGACGACGAGCAAGCCTCGCTGAAGTTATGAAGTTGGTGGCAAGGCTGACTGATAGGAAACTGTTACTAATCGGTCAGACAAAGTCGCAAAATAGAGAGCGATAATTCGGCCGACTGTCATCTAAGATAACGCCGAGGAATTGGAGAGTGGCCAGGCAGCCAGGTAATTATTGCCACGTTATAATAATATAGACGGGTGAATTCGGCTTGTTATACAGTCGTACGAAGAAAAGAAAATAGAAAGATGTCAAAGAGGAAAGAGAAAGTTCAATGTTTACCATGTATGTATGAGATAATCACTATTGTAAGGAAAACAGGTGAAGAATAACACATGCAAGATGGAGGATAGTAAGATCAATTGGTAAGATGGATGGATGAATAGAGTTGTGGGGTTTGGTGGTATTTGATGGTAGAGCAAATTACATTAGGTTAGGTACATTAGGTCAGGTACCTAGGTACCCAAGGTACAGGGGAGTTATAGTTGCATTGCGCCTACCTTATGTACATCGGAATAAGGAGAAAGTAGGTACCTATGTACCTCCTAACCTGACATGTCTGTACCTAGTACCAAAATAGGGTCTACTGGCCGGCTTGTTTTCAGCTGAAAAGGACTTGCTCTGTCCCCGCTGCACCTCTTTGCATCCACCACGCCCACACTGTTGGACAACATTAACAAGACCCTGATAGGTCCTATTACACTATCCTATCGACCTATCCTAATACCTGTTTCTTACTACAAAGTTTCGCCCCCAAGCACCAAATGGCCTAAATGGCCGCTTATTCGATGGTCTCTATTTTTCGCGTCCGTCAACTTTTCAAGATTCTTTCATACCTGGTACCTACACCTAAAGCACGGATGTAACCAAGATCCAGCATCGATGCCAGCGGCACTTGTATTATGCATCATTACATATGCCGCCTACCTTGTTTGTTTATCCACAAGGCATCACTGCGCCGCTTTATTACATGATGATATCTCGCTTACTATTCGTCTGCTCGTCTTCTCGTCAAGGAATAGTCAAGGAGTATTCAAGGAGCAGTAACTCGTACATATGTAGATCTCCACTTATAAGCTAAGGTATGCAAGGCATGTAAGGTATGTCGGCGTCTCAAGGAGGAAGAAAAGACGACGTGCCATTGGATATCTTTACCATGCTTTCCCGCGGCATTTCTAAATGCCCATTTCAAAAGGCACCCTCGGCCTGCGAGAGTAAACTTTGTGCACTATAACGCCTCGGCCCCCTTGTGTATATTGCCGCTCTACGAGTCTCGTGTTCTGCTTCACCATCGTCTAATAACCGAGAGCAAGGGGAACAAGGGGAGCAAGGGGCTGTGCTTGAAGTCTTTCGCGGGTCGTCTTCTCCACATACCACATCGTCCGTCCGTCTTCTTGTCCAGCTTTCCCATCAAGACATGTTTCTCTTTTTTCAACGCCAGCGGCTTTGGTTTTTGCTACCCCCGGCCATCGCTCCGCCGGGGATCAACTTAAACCAGGTTTGCTAACGCGGCGTAGGGCTCACCTCAGCTGAACCCCGTTCACCACCCCGACCACCTCCGTACAAGATAGGGCTAGTGGTGCGAGGCTAACTCGCTCCAGAAGTAGTCTCGCCATAAATCCCTGGTGGTTCGACCGTCGATCAAGCAAAGGAGAAGAAAAAACCCCGCCTAGGTCCCGTTTAGACCCTATCAACTAACAAGCTCATACTTCTTCCTAGATTAAGTATGCTAACTGTCTTTTAGTATAACATTTTAGAATATACCTCCCTCGACGCTTCTAGGGTTCGGTCTTTCTACCTATGTAGTGCCGTATCAAAAACTTCGCAAATACGGCGCTCTTATAAGCAAGTCTCGACCATTATACTGTGCATTAGGTACTTTAGTGTCTGCGTAGCACATGTCAGCTATCCACAGCCCTGTGCCTCCAGGATTATAAGAGAACTAGTATGCTCACATGCCGTGCATATTTAGGGCATAGACCCTGAATTCATGATTCTCAGCCCTCCTATTGGGCCCCGATTCAGCTGCGTCGACTAGAACGGATATGCGTACAATTCGTTATCTATTTACCTACTTAAGTACCTACCTAAGGTATTTAGGAATAGTTTGTGCCACGGGCCATCACTTACTCCCTATGTAAGTATTGTACCTAAGCCTAGTAAAATAGTTGCCGTCCCTGGTTACCGTCTCAGGAGCATTATTAGAGTCTAGCGCCTACAGAGACTGACGCTTAAGCCCGAGCGTCACGATGCATGCGTCACGAAAGGGCCACAACCACCTTATGAGCCACCTACTATTGTACCTGTGTAACAAGGACCGAGTCGAGGGCGCTCCAATCCTACCAATAACCAACCCCTTGTTATCTTCATGTCAACGCGGCTTAAAGAGTACGCGCAAGAGGGCAACTCCTAATAACAGCTTCAAAGCTCCCAATAGCTCCACAACACTCCACATAGAAAAATACAAAAGTCCGTACTCTCGGGAGTCTTATTGGAGCTTGCTGAAGGATAGCAGGGATCTCCATCTTAATTTGTTCGATTCCAGCTAACACGTTGATTTCTTTCGTCCCGCCTCATTCTTCACCTCATCCTAGATTACACTAATATTCTCACCTCGTCTCGTGCTCCCTTGTCCACCGAAGTGGCCGGACAGATCCCGACTAACGGCTAAGCTTACGGCGTAATTTCGTGCCTCATATAATTTCATCAACCACGGAATACGGCCTAGTCTTTTTGCCCCAGTCTCATATGCACGAAGAATCGTTTCGCTATCGTGCAGCATGACGGCATAAGAGGCGTTGGCTCCAATAACGTAGGTATTTCTCGACCTTAATCCACGAGGCTTCTCGCCCGAATAATCAGTCCCGTTTACATCGGGTGCACTCAGTGTTGATATACTCAAGCATGACGGCTGTCCTACACAGACCCGGCCCGCCGTTTTCGCGGGAATATGAGACGTAGGTCTAACGGCCACCCAATAACATATCCGACTTCTCTTACACGGGCCCGAAGAGGCAAGCCGCCAAGTCATCCACGTCTCCTCAATTGAGGCTGACTGACAAAGAGATGGCGGGGCCTTGAAAAGAAAAGTAACTAACTCTCACACATCCACTCCCTCTCCACTCACACTCACACCCTCCCCAGACGCTCGGGCTGTTTATTTTCATGATTGTACTTCCTCTGTAGATGGCCCTTGTCACTTAGTCCCGTCAAGTTGTGTCTTGGTAATGGGACCTTGACACGATGTAGTAGTACCAACTCTAAGTAACGCCCGTATAAATCTCTCCTCGTCTCCCGCCTCTCTAGCTTTTTTAGATCCTTCAACGGCATCAAGGGCGCTTTTATGTTACGTCTGTTTCCACGCCTGGACTGTCAACTAGGTAGCTCCGCAATAGTTTGGTTATGTCGTGCTTGTAAGCTCGAGATTGACTATAAAGACTTGCCTCCACCCGAGCGCTTTCTCTCTGCTGTATGCAGACGCGAGTGATCTTGTCTCCCCAACCCTCCTTTTAGGACCCCAACTTGTAAGCTGCCGGTCGAGCCTTGTTTATTGGGCATCTTGACCTACCGAGCGACCGCGATTTATCCATCATCTACTTACCAAGTCATCAAGTTCCTACATATCTGCACATACGCACACTCCCTCCTCCCCTGATCTGCGAGCCGGGCCGCTTTATGTCACCCGCGTATATTTCATAGTGTGTTTGATATATCGAGGCCAAACCCGCTGAGTAAAGCGAGAATCCTTGCTCAGTCCTTAGGTTTCCCGTTGTCTCGATCGACATCCCGGTCCACTCTCCGAGCTTCTACATGCTAGTACAAGATACATACATCGGTGAAGGCCCGACCCCAGACGGCACAGAAAACGCATCTAATTATTAGTTTCCCTAATAAGAAAACATGCCCGCTGTCAATCTCCCTCTGCAGCAGACCCACGGTACCTTATATATGGTACCGGGGACCCATCTGCGGCTCTTGTTCACCTTCTTGGGATTCACTTCCCTCGGTGTACTACTACTAGTGTTTAAGAAATATAAGTCACATTCCCCTTCCTACACTGGTCAGCTGGATGCCAGCCCTACTACTCTTCAGAAACTTTGGATTTCAGAGAAGTCACGCGGAATCGTCTTCCAGAACGAGATCATGTCAGTGAATCAGTCCCCAGGAGTCTCACAACTGTCCTCAGCTGGGAACTTAAGCGAAGGGGAAAAGAAACATCAGGATAGGTCCAAAAACCGAAAAAGCAGCGAGGGGCATCAGGAAAACATGACAGCTTCCGTGAGCATAGACGCAGGCATGCCACTGATCCTTAAATCTGGCCCACCGCCACCGCCGCCGCTAACACCACCTACTCTCTTGACAGGGGCTTTTAGTTTTCAGGACCGCCGGCTAAGCATTGCAGCTTCTAGCATGGGCGATCTAGATACGAGCTTCTTCCAGCAGCCGAACCCGGATTACACATTGTCACCCTCGCCAGAGTCTAGCACAACCGCGTTAGCCCACGGTCAAGATTCTCCCTATATTCCACGGAGAAGGTCTTACACAAAGATGTTGCCTCTCGGACCAGCGCATACAGACTCGGAACACGATGGGGCATCTTTCTCTCCTAGCTCATTCCCATCCTCAAGCCCAATCTTACCCCTTGCGCCACATGAATCGCTCGATTCTAGGGAGATCGATGTCAAGGGCGAGATTATCTCAGTAATGGACGATTCGGGCGCCGGTTGGAAGCGGCATACACGAGTATACGGCGGAGGTGTTTGCTTAGCTTGCCTGGCTTCTGGGAGCCAGGGAGGATTCTATGGCGATAATGTTCCCCTCGAGCATCGCCGTTAGCCATCGGGGCCCCCGGCGAGAAAATATGGTCGAGTTTGAGTTCCCAACAAAAAGGAACGCCAAAGACTCGACTCGTCCTAGAATATCAAGGCGTGAGCGGCGTCCCGGAGGAGCCGGAGGAGTTCCGACGGTTTTTTCTTTTCGGTCGTTGGCCACGCTAGGAACTACGACGCGTCTACCCCGAGCTAGGACCGAGATATTCATTCTCTAAAACTGTCTGGGCAGCATTTCTACATCCGAAGTGATTTTGGCATATCATTTTTCTCACTACTACTTTGGGCGGCTATACTTTTAGGGGAGAAAAGGATATACCTGCTTTGCGACACTGGTTACTGGGATTGGGGAGAACGGTATTATTTTACTCACGTCTGTTATGACCATTTCTTTGTTCTTTTCTTCCGTCCATGTATATACTTCCATGTCTCCCGACAAATAAACTCCGCAACTCCGCGTCGTTTAGAGTCATCAGCTTGCAACATCTCCCACGTCGATAAAAGTACCATTTTCCCCTTTCGTCTAGTTTTACTATTGCCTCCTCCACGCGTTGCCGAATTGTCAAGAAAATTATTTTTTAATCCCTCGCTTACTGCGTGGAGTGGCTTCGGTCATGCCGGGTGTCCTGAGCTTAGTGCCGCGGCGCATTATTTGTTCGCGAAGAGAACGGCTGTGTTGGTGTTCAAGATAGGACTCAGCCACCTTTGCATCAAGATCGAAACAATTTCATTTATGCGAAGTCTTCTAGGCTATTCAGTCAGTGTTAACAACGTTGGCGTCACTTATATTAGCTCTACGAAATGCAAAGGCCCTTTTTCATTTTTTCATTTTGGGGGGTGTTTTTTTTCATATCGGTCCGTCATGCGAACCCCTAATCTCTGGGCACTCATAAGAAGCCCGGTCGTCGTGCTAGGAGGTGCTTACTCTAGGCAGATACATTATTCACACGATTCTAATTTAGGGGAGGGTATTTTTCATTTTTCGGATGGCATCGTGCGCGTCGATTCTTCAGTACGAGACGATCGGCCCGTAAACATGTCGATAAGGAAAGCCGATTTGCCAGGAGGTACGCTGTGAAGCAATCCCATCTGTCCGAAATACGCAAATGACGAATAGGCCTGAGCTCTGCTTGACGAAAATGCGACCGCTCACCGATCGTCCAAATGAGGAATAGGGGAACAGGCGAACAGGCGAATAGACCAGCCCCATGTCCCCGCGTCATGCTTCCCAACGGGTTTAGGGCTGAATCTTAGGTACATATGTACATAGAGTATGCAACGTCTGCACAGGACCCGGGACCCCCTTGCATCACTGTGCTTGGAAATACATATCAGAAGCACGTAAAACCCTGCGTTGATCATGTTAGTCTCTTCCGGTCTCCTGTCACTCGAATAAGGAAATATGTTGACCATTCTGGCTAGGTACTATTAAACTCCATCGCCTGGTCTTGGCGGCGGGCCATTGCCCTGTCACGACCGAGGAGGATTTCGCCTGGTTGACCGAGGGATCTCACGTCATATTACATAGGTGTCTCCAGGATCCAAGCAAGGGTTTGCACAATGCGGTATCCGCCCACCTTCCATATGGGATGACTCCGGTCTTAGGAGGAGGATTGACCATACGGTTGTCACTCAAGATCTTAGATGAAAGCTTAGACCAGAGAGCCAGAGCTAAAGTAAGTGCCCAAAATCCTTTGCTACTGCGAAAAGTAAAGACATATTCCTTAGGATGGACACGGCCAAAGATTCATTATACCGCAACCTCGGTGTAAAATAGGTAATTATGTTATAATCGTTATAGTATAAGTTTTGAGTTGGTCATACAGGAGGGAGAGTTTACAACACAATGATCCCCAGAAAGTAATATGCAGAGTTCATGCAGGGTGCCGCAGCTCGGCATTGCGGCTCAAGAAAGTAAATTCATTTACATCGGTCCACTTGTAATACAGAACACGTACGGCCGTGCCATCAACCAACATGAATAGACTAACTCTCTAATATCTACCCCTATGGCTCAGCACCCCCGTAGGACTCCGACCAACTACCCTGAGATACAACAGGCGCGCGCGGGTTCATTCGATTACACTACCACACATCCCACGACAAGCCTTCGGTTTTTGTCTTTTCTATGAGGCCTAAAGCCGACTACATTGCCTATTCGGGCCCTTTTCAACAGGGTACTCACCGACTCGGTGTAAGAGGGATAACTCAGGAGGCGGCATCTTATCCAACAAATCTGAGATATGGCACTTCAACTCCATTATAGAAGGTAGTTTCTCCCCGTCGGTTAATATCTACAAAGAACCATCTCCATGAAGGATTCTAAAATTACATGATCATATATCATATCTTTTATCCCAAGTCCATATAAATGGAGGCCTACTACTATATAACCCCCAAGTTGGGAACCGAGGGGCGGTGATCATAAATAGATAGTATGCCATTTTGCCTATGATTCTCGCGAGGTATTGTTGAAATTGTATAACAAATAAGCATCTAACGGTCGAGGTAGTCAATGGGAACCGATCCGCCCATTCCTCCTCGGATCTGCCGTAAGCCTCGGGAGTCGGGTAGGGTTGTCAAATAAGATCCCTATCCTAGGGCTGGAACCAGGATCGTCCTACATACAGCAATGTCCTTAATCAGTAGGCTACCTAGATGTAACGTTCCGACAGTACGTATCTAAACGACATACGTAAAATTCGCATTGCAACAAGGGCAAGCGACCAGATGCATGTTAGTGGCGTGTCGATCAAAGTTAGAAGTCAAGACCGAGCATCCCAATATTTGACAGGACTTGGGACGAACTATTATATACGCTTACAGTGTCCTATTCAAGGCATGCGAAGGGACATCTGAGATGGCTGATAAGTCCTGTAATAAGAGATCGGAATCTGTTCCCGAAGAAGCATATGAGTTTACTACTATGGTTTTAGAGTACATATATGATTCATCCCTTGTCCATATAAAACTGTAGACTCTGAGAGCTACCTCTTAAGTATTCCACGCCACTTTAAGGCACCATTACCTCCATAAGGAATGAGGCAAACCCCATTAACCAGAGGGTAAATGCCTAATATGTGCCTGTCAGATATTTATGTGATGCTATAGCAACCCGTATAATGCTACACGTCGCCGTGAATGCGCAGTTTAGATAGGCTACCTACTTAGTTGCCGGAGTACTGCATCATGTATCCCAGAAGGTGAGTCACTTTAAATAGGATACGAACGCCCCCATCATGGATATCCTGGATTAAATAACAATTAGTACGATAATTTAGTGGCTTACTCCTATGACAGATTCTGTAATAAGATATGCGAACTACATACTAAACATAATCGCGCTACTATCATCCGCAGTTCAAATGCCATCTAGTAGCGGGGCTTTCTACAAGTGTAGTGGCAACTTGACTAGCTCAGATTAATAGATGATTTCTAGTTGACTTCGGGGCTATTCTAGCTCAATGTATTATTTTAGACTCTGTATGCTAAAGAGTAGTAATTGGATCGTGCCGTCATGTATCAAGCTATCCTCATTGATCGAAGCTACAGTAAAGAATATTGTTCGCCTGCTTTAGGTACTCATACGTTGTCACCTATAAAGACGAACCTATGGAGGCTACAATTTGGCGCCTGCGCTTGTCATGTCTTGCATTCCTATCCTAACTAGCCATACCTCCGTGTCTGGGTAGGTTCCATGAATTCAAGAGCCTTAAGCTCATCTCTCAGGCCTACTCCGGCGGACTCTAAATCAACGATTATCTTACAGGGGATATTTTAAGGATTTAACAACCGGGGATTATAGACACACTAGGTAAGAGGCAGTGGCTTAGCTTGTAGTGTATAGGTATGTTGACGACTGTTTTAACTCATGCCCCTTTTAAGGATAGGAAGATACCCTCCTTATATAGACTTGGCCTAATATCTAGTGGCTCCTCTACGATTATAACCCTATTGTCTCATGAAGCTAACATCAACTGCGATAATCTGACAATGCCTCGTCGCGTCATATAGGATAGACCAGTAAACCACCCACTGGGCTCCTTACAAGCCCCTGATAGGCGAACACTATGAATTGCGATTAATTTGGGCCTCTTTGTATGTTTATCGGAACCCTTAGCTAACGAAATGCTATACGAAATGCTATATAGATGCCTAGCAGACACAGGCAATAGTGTCGTACCCTGAAAGTGATAGCAAACTTCAGTCATCATTGGAATATTAAGTTAAGATTGATATACCGCGTGGACAATAGTCTCTTTAGTATTTTTTGAACCATTTCAAAAAACTTAAAGAATACTCGAAATGACTAGGTAGTTCATACTACCAGGCGAAGTTTGTAACTCAAGAACGGCCCTAGATGTTGCCTGTTAGAAAAATATATGATTCTTGAAAACCCATCCATGGTGTTGATGCATAAAGAGGGGGGTATATTCTCATTATATGTGCTATTATCAGAAAAAGCGCTGAGGCATATTAGTAGACACTTATTAAAGCCAGAGTAATACCTAAAGAGCACTTGGGCGCCTCTTGTACGTACTGGAATCGTTCAATTGGCCCGGTAACTGCTCAAAAAACCCGGGTCATTGGTAGTGTAACATACTTCTCCCCCAGTCATTTTCAGCATGTCCTGATTCAAGCCTAAGTTGACTCGAGGGCTTCATGTCTGTTGAGTCACACAGGGTCGCACTACCAGTGGGATTAGGTTACGATGGAATGGAAATAATTGGGCTAGATTCGATATGATTGAGTAGAGTCTTGAACTATAAGTACCTCAAAGGCGATGTTATAATCCCCGCTAATTATGATTCCGAATGCTCTATTTAGGGGCTTCTAAATACATGTTCTAGGTTATACTGTTTATGAAGTACAAGTTGCTCCATATCAAACGTAATTGTTTAGTTGATACCTTAGAAGTTGGCCCGCTCGTCCCATCGTGCTTCCGTTAGCCTTATACAACTGGCTCTTCTAATGGATATATCATTTTCTCCAACCTAGTGAATTCTGCGAATTAAGAAGCTGTTGTGGAGCATGGACATATCCGCCTGTCGTTGCCCTTCGGATATCACGTGTTGACCGTCTAATGCGAGAATATTCTGGGTATCAAGTGCTCCGAGCCGCTCTAAGTAAGCTATGTGGGACGACGGATATATTATCATTACATGGTCGGGTAGCACACAGCCTCGTTGGCTACCTATTTGTTAGCCAAGGGAATGGGATGTATTTGGGGTGCCAAGCACGTGGAATTGGCGGCTTATGAACGTATAGCTCGATTTGATCACTCGCAGAAGCCCCCAGGGCCAACCCTAAGATCAGGCTCTTGTCTCAAGCCACCGTCCACTGGCTGCTATATAGACGAACGAATAGGAGATATGAACACGGATTCGCCACGGCTAATGGAGCCACGTAGAGTTGTCTACAAATATAGTTGGGGTCCAAACGACTTATAGCCAGAAACTACTTTGCCGATGCCGTGCATGAGCGGACTCGGCGGGCGCTTGAACCCTTGA